AGGACCTACAATAATGTACAGTATTTGAAAAATAATGTGTTTTTTGAACATTCAAGCATGTCAACATATTCTGTTACACCAAATACACAAAATAATGATCTTTAAAAAAGCATCATATGACCCCTTTAAGATGCAAATTACCACTTGAAGTTTCTGTGAAGGGAGTCCCTTAAAATGAGGCCCCATTCAATTTCTTCATAATTTCTCTTTTTTTTCTTCCAAATGTTCCAAAGCAGCAGTTATCAGTTCAGTTCGGATGTATTAGTGATTCAACTAATCTCACACTTTGCATTTTTAAACGTCTTGTCATGTCTTTGCAGGTATCTTATCAGTCAAGGTGCAAACGTCGGTGTAGTAAACAGCGAGGGAGAAACGCCATTGGATATCGCAGAGGAGGAGGCCATGGAGGAGCTTCTGCAAAACGAGATCAACCGGCAAGGTACTGCTGCCTCTCCTTGACACACATTACACAGTCACTCCAAACTTCATCTTTCATGACAATGATTTGCTAGGGTGTACAAGGCTTAGTGTCATGTCCATGTCATGCTACGGTTGAGATCATTGCTTTCTGACAATTCTGAGGCAGTTCTTCAAATTAATTGCCTTGCTCGGATGGCCACGGGTGATATTTGCATCATGCTCAACTTTCCCAGCTGCTGTGTGCTCGAGTCGAGGCTGCAAGTCTTGGAAGGACTCCAGTGGGTGCACTGACTCAGAATTAATATTAGAGCCGTGCTCAGCCAGTAGTGTAACACACAACACCCTTTCTCCTGTGTCCACTCTTAACTTGCCTGTTGACCTGGCTGAGTACTTGATGTCCGAGGTATATCATGCGTGTGCAAAGTCATAAAGGATTTAGGGAGGTGTGTGTGTGACTGGCTGTAGTGAGGTCCCTTACATAATGGAGAAACATGATCCGTTTGACCTGACGCCCATTGTAATGATCCTAAACTAGATGAAATGGTTTTTCTATTTTTGGACTATTTTCTTGATGATGAAATGGAGCCCAGCTGCTACTGAGTGGCCCTGTTCAGACATGCGTTAACAGCCTGAGGTGGTGTGTGGCTCCTTGTTCACCAGGATGTATCAGCAGCAGATAGTACAGTTTCTGCACTGGCTCAGAAGAGGAGGTGAGAGCGGCTGGTGATGTAGGCGTAGCTAGGGCTGCACGATTAATCAAATGTGATTGTAGTAATCAGTAGTAAATCTCCATCACGTTTTTTCAGATGGAGCAGCATTTACTACACAGAGCCGTAGTTCATTGACAAGCTATGCAAAATCGCATTCATAATCGCAGACGATACAATCGCGCGATAATGAAATCGAAGAAATTGTTCTGCAATTATGAAAGCTGTTTGCGTACGTTGACAGTGAACTACGGCTCTGTGTAGTAAAAGCATGTGAAAATACCACAATTAATACCATGTTTTTACTCCAAACTCGCTTCATAACATCAGCCGAGTGCTTGAAATAAATCCTTCTGTGAGATGATGTGGCTTCTTACACAGAATAAGGTGCAAGGCAACGCAACATATTTCATAGTATTCTATGCAGTGATAAAGTCGATTAGCATTGCATTAGCATTGCATTATTTTATATATATATATATATATATATATATATATATATTCATTATTATATATTTATTATAATAAAAAATTATAAGGACCATTAGCCAAGACTACTCAAATTTGAGTCTGCTCAAATTTGCGCAATCCTGCTGCGTTTCTGAGTGCTGCCTATGAGGCTACCTGGTCGAGCACATTTTTGAAGAATTAAAGGGATAGCCCATGATTTACTTACCCTCAAGCCATCCTGACAGTATATGACTTTCTTCTTTCAGACGAATATAGTCTGAGTTATATTAAAAATGTCCTGGCTCTTCTATGCAGTGGCAGTGAATGGGTATCGAGATTTTTAAGCTTTTAAAAATGTGTGTCCATCCATCATAAAAAGTGCTCCACACAGCTCCAGGGGGTTAATAAAGGCCTTCTGAAGCAAAATTTGCATCATGCTCAACTTTCCCAGCTGCTGTGTGCTCGAGTCGAGGCTGCAAGTCTTGGAAGGACTCCAGTGGGTGCACTGACTCAGAATTAATATTAGAGCCGTGCTCAGCCAGTAGTGTAACACACAACACCCTTTCTCCTGTGTCCACTCTTAACTTGCCTGTTGACCTGGCTGAGTACTTGATGTCCGAGGTATATCATGCGTGTGCAAAGTCATAAAGGATTTAGGGAGGTGTGTGTGTGACTGGCTGTAGTGAGGTCCCTTACATAATGGAGAAACATGATCCGTTTGACCTGACGCCCATTGTAATGATCCTAAACTAGATGAAATGGTTTTTCTATTTTTGGACTATTTTCTTGATGATGAAATGGAGCCCAGCTGCTACTGAGTGGCCCTGTTCAGACATGCGTTAACAGCCTGAGGTGGTGTGTGGCTCCTTGTTCACCAGGATGTATCAGCAGCAGATAGTACAGTTTCTGCACTGGCTCAGAAGAGGAGGTGAGAGCGGCTGGTGATGTAGGCGTAGCTAGGGCTGCACGATTAATCAAATGTGATTGTAGTAATCAGTAGTAAATCTCCATCACGTTTTTTCAGATGGAGCAGCATTTACTACACAGAGCCGTAGTTCATTGACAAGCTATGCAAAATCGCATTCATAATCGCAGACGATACAATCGCGCGATAATGAAATCGAAGAAATTGTTCTGCAATTATGAAAGCTGTTTGCGTACGTTGACAGTGAACTACGGCTCTGTGTAGTAAAAGCATGTGAAAATACCACAATTAATACCATGTTTTTACTCCAAACTCGCTTCATAACATCAGCCGAGTGCTTGAAATAAATCCTTCTGTGAGATGATGTGGCTTCTTACACAGAATAAGGTGCAAGGCAACGCAACAT